AAAAGGGAGCGGTGAAGGCCGCCGGGCGCGTAGGTCGCCGCTCCCAGCGCGGGAAGAGGGGGAGTCGCCGGCGCCGCCCCCCCAGAGGGGAGGATGTTTTCCTTCTCTACCACCGTGCAGCCCCAGGTGAGAGTGCTGGCGCGCTGCGAGGGAGCTGGGGGCGCCCCGTCGAGTACTATTGCGAGGGAATTCCGGGTCGGCCGGGCAGCTCCCGTGTGTTGTGTGGGAGCCGCGGAGCTGAGCGATTCGGAACCAGAAGATCTTCCGGGGGCGCGAGTGGAGCGGGGTGGGTTGTAACTTGCCACAGAGGCCAGTCGCGGCTGGGGGCAGGGATTCAGAGAGGTTGATCTGAGAAGAACCCTCTTCTCACTCGAGTCTGCCCACCCTACCTGGTGGCTCGACTAAGGCGTTACTTTCTCAGCTGACGAAGGAAATCGAGGCCCTTCCGGGGCTCTGTCACTTCATGTATCACTAGTGGGAGTTATGAGGTGTATAATATTCTAGCTCAGTGATTCGTGTGCTATCTTGGAAAAGTTGTAGCCAAATCTCTGCTTGGTTACAAGCTTTTGAGCAATCTCAGGCATGTCAGTTTCTCTGCGCCTCTATTTTCCTATCTGTAAAATGGGGGTGTTAGCATCGCCCTGCCTTACATGGATGTTGTATATTAAAAATTGTGAGGTGCTTAAATGCCCCAATCACTGTGGCAATATAAATAGCTAAAAGAGAGACCTAGATAATGCACATAGTCATTCTTGAGTGGAGGTAGGTTTTGACTACACTTAAGCTTCTGATAAGTATGTAACTTACTGCCTTTTGCTTTCCAAATTCAGATTCAGAATAATACAGTCTACATATGTCTTGCCCCTTAGCATACCTTATTCCCTTCTTGATTAGGCCCAATTATTTACCCTGGTTAGATGCACGGATGTTACACTTGACTATTGGTTATTTTTCTTGTGTACGGTACAATATAGATTATTAATGTAGTTATATAATTTCCTTCAGTCTTTATAAGGAAGAAGTACTTTTATAAGAAATGCTAAGAACATAACATAAGAATGGCCATACTGGGTTAGATCAAAGATCCATGTAGCACAGTATCTTCTTAAAGTGGCCAATGCCAGGTGCCCCAGAGGGAAAGAACATAATAGGTAATCCTCAAGTGATCCCTCCTCTGTCACCCATTCCCAGCTTCTGACTAACAGATCATTCCTAACCTTCCTGGTCAATAGCCATTGATGGACCTATCCTCCGTGAATTTATCTAGTTCTTTTTTGAACTCTGTTTATGTTCTGGTCTTTACAACATCTTCTGGCAAGGAATTCCACAGGTTGATTCTACATTATGTGGTGAAATACTTCCTTTTGTTTGTTTTTAAACCTGTTACGTATTAATTTCATTTGGTGACCCCCTAGATCTTGTGTTATCGGAACAAGTAAATAACTTATTTTTCCCACACTAGTCATGATTTTATAAATATCTATCATATCCTAATAACCAGTAATACTGGCTTGATTATTTGTCCATCTTACATAGAGCATAAGAGTAGAGATTTTAACATAAACCAAACAGAAAATGTCAGTTGTGTTAAAAGTACACCATACTAGGAATGTAAGTAGCTAGTCGACTATCTGATAAAGAAATGCTTATTGGATAGTCGACTCGACCAGTCGCTTCCCACCCCTTACTGCCTCTATCAGAGAGGCAGCAAGGCGAAGGAGCAGGAGCTGGTGCTGGCCAGTAAACCCAGCACGGTCTCTGCAGGGGGCACAGGAGGCAGAGGCACAGCAGGAAACGGCACCAGTTCCCACTGCAGGTACTTCTGCTTTTGAATGTACAAGAGCCCCAGAGTCACTTCTATGAACAGCAGCAAGGGGGGGGGGGGGACAGGAGCTAGTTGGGGGATCCAGCTTAAAAACCATTTCCCCACAGCACCATCTCCGAGGTGCAGCCTGCCTTCTCTGCTGCCTTAATCAGAGGCAGTGGGGGGATAGGGAATGCTACTGTGAAGCAGCCCGTGTCTGCAGCGTCCTAACAGAGAGCTGGACCCTGCAGTGGATAGGGGCTGTTGCTGGCCAAAAAGCCCCGTTTTTTGG